CATACTATCAGTTATCAATTCGTGATGGTGATCGTTTAACCCACGAAGTGTCGATTTCAGCAGTTCCCCTTTATAGCTCTATTGGATCACTCTGACGTAAACGGGTTTCTTGTTTTGATTGAACATACACCCAGTTATTTTATAACTAAAGCGGTGAACTTCCTTGCGATAATTTCATTTCTTTGTTTACGTCATTCATTTAGAACCGCCATTCTCAAAACGAGAACTATATATTTATCGATTTGAACATACAATTAATCAAGGTAGTTTAACCTCTTTCAGATTTGCAATGGAAAAGAAATAAGACATACAAAAAGAAACGAAGTTAAAGAAAACATTGCTTTCAACAAAATACAACTGTTATTGTTTTAAAGCATTGTGAATGTGGTACCGGAATGTTCTCTCAGAGACAATAACAATTTATCGTGGAAAAAAACGTCCTGATTGGTAAGCCTCAATGACACTTATCCGGCTTTTTTTGCATAAATTAAAAATCAACACTGTAGTTTTGCTGAAACACCTCGGGTAGATTGTACGACAAACACCGAATTGGCTAAATGTTATAAGATGATTATAGAATCCTATTTAAAAATTCTATGCGAGTTGTGTTGAAGGTCGTATGCTTGGGTGAACATCATGTATGTCCAATAAAGAATGAGCGACACTTAATACAGATTTTCAATAAAATGACATTACTCGACATAACCAACCTATCTGATCGTATCTCGGCCTATTGCATTGAAGGATGACGGAGGGGAGCATAGACTGCATAGTTTTTTGGCTCGTTGAATACATATACTTTTTTTGAATAGATGCTATCTAAAAATTAGCACAATCTGCTATTTTAATTCTTTACATATTTTGTTATTAAATTTGCGATGATTTTATTGACAACAACCTTTCAAGGGAACAGTAAACTCAGTTGCCGTAATCAAATGCACTGATCATTACTTCGTGATTTCACTTGACCCATATATATCTCTCCCAAACGGTGAATTCTTAAAGTTACTAATCAAAATAAAGTTTGAAAAATAAACATAATTGAATCTGAAGCGAGATGATATTCTCATTTTTGATTTATAAGTTATGAGATTAAAACAAGAGTTTCAAACATGCCGGAATGTAACAGGTGTACACGAGTTGCTTCTTTTATTTTTAGCATACTTATATAATTTATTTCAAGATACTTTTGTCATAGGTAGACATTCAGATCACTGATGCATCTTTCTAATTGTACTTTGTCACCATTTGTAGAATTTTATCAAATGGAATTTATGAGGACGCAATTTCAAGAAAAAATATGATTACACTTTACTGAATTAGTTAATGTTTTTACTTCTTATCGTTAATTATAAAGATGCATTGATTCCAGGAAGAGTTCGTACAAACGAACGCGTAATTTAACGGCATTGCTCTCAAATTGTTTTTCTAAAATGATTGGCCTTTAACTTATGCAAAAACGTATGCAAAACGAACACGTACGGATTTTTTTTATCTAAGTTTTGTTAAGTAGTAGGATCATTTTAATTTTATGAGCAACCTATGATAGCAAGGGGACATTATATTTACTGGTCTGTGTATCCGTTCATTCTGCCGTCCCGTTCAAAATATAAAATGTTCAAATTCATATACCAAATTAGAGTTTGACTCGATTAAGTGGTGCACTGAACATGGAAATATAATCAAGTGAAGGGGCACTGTGTCTTAAGGCCACATGTTCTTTTTGCAAAAGTTTTGATTAAAACATGTACATGTTTATGTATCTTTCATATTCATAACTATCTCTTTGGTCTTGTGGTAGCGTGTTTGCTCGACAGTAACCCCTCAAGGGTGACCGAGGAATAGCAATATGGTCACTATTGGTCTTGTTCCGACCGACAGTTAAACCATTGCCAAAGTGGGGCGTCCGTTTGGCTGTGCGGGACATACAAGTACGCAGTCACGTCCGGTCAGAGTGGGGACGTTAAATCCGATGCCCCTTGTGGAGAGAATGCCATGCTCTCTGCACGTTAAATATGCATGATATATTTGCCACTGAACGTCAAGCAACCAACTATCAATCAATCGACACTGGCACAAAGATCCTGTTTATGAAAAATCAAGATTTGTGGAATTTTATTATGAAATTATTATATTTCTAGTGCGCATTAAATCAATATATTTCAATGAAACTGCTGGTTAAAGGTCTAATTCTCAGTAATCAATTACAGACAGGTCCTGAGCAAAACAAAAATTATTGACAGTATTATATGTATGACCTCCTCGAAAATGTTGATGTGGTTCATAAGTGTTTCCCGTTTCTCGTATTTTAAATAGATTAGACCGTTGGTTTTCCTGTTTGAATTGTTGTACACTAGTCATTTTGGGGCCCTTTATAGCTTCCTGTTCGTGTTGAGGACGTACTTTGACCTATAATTGTTTACTTTTTACACATTGTGAATTGGATGGATAGTTGTCTCATTGGCACTCATACCACACCTTCTTATTTCTATTTTGTACAGATTTGGGGATTTTAAAGTTTAAGATCCACTATGTCTTTTTTAGTTGATACGTTTAGTTTTTGTCAAAATGCATGGATTATAATAATTGGGTGAACTATGAAGTCTTGGTTATATTAACCATGGTACATGTCAGTAGGAAGAGTACGACATAAAATGTAGGAATGCCAAGTGTCTGTTGAAAACTACGTGCACCTAAAGTAACAAGTCCATTGTCAAAAAAAAATCAAAAAAAATCAAGCATCATGTGAGTTTTACAGTTATGATATCTTGATTGAATCAGTTTTTTTAAAGGTAGACATTAAAATTTAGAATGGAAATGGGAAATGTGTCAAAGAGACAACAACCCGACCATAGAGCAAACAACAGCCGAAGGCCACCAATGGGTCTTCAATGCAGCGAGAAACTCCCGCACCCGGAGGCGTCCTTCAGCTGGTCCCTAAACAAATATGTATACTAGTTCAGTAATAATGGACGTCATACTTAACTCCAAATTATTCACAGGAAACTAAAATTAAAAATGATACAAGACTAACAAAGGCCAGAGGCTCCTGACTTGGGACAGGCGCAAAAATGCGGCGGGGTTAAACATGTTTTTTGAGATCTCAACCCTCCCCCTATACCTCTAGCCAATGTAGTAAAAACAAACGCACAACAGTACGCACAGTAAAACTCAGTATAAGAGAAGTCCGAGTCCAATGTCAGAATAGGAAACAAAAGAAAATAAACAAAATGACAATATTACATAAATAACAACAGACTACTAGCAGTTACTGACATGCCAGCTCCAGACCTCAATTAAACTGATTGAAAGATTATGTCTTCATCATATGAATATCAGGCACAATCCCTCCTGTTAGGGGTTTAGTATTATACCGTCATAAAATATATGAGAAGAACATAACCCGTGTCATGCCAACAACTGGTTTTAGAATAAATGTGTTTAATTCCGATGCAAAGACCCTATAAGTGAATCAATATTAAAGCCAAATTGTCTGTTCATTAAAAACGATATTTGCATCAACCTTGTTCATTTTATGAAAGAAAGATTGACGTATATTGTTTTCGGTGCTTTAATGATGAGGAATGAGTGAGTAAAGAGTAAAGCAATCAACGTTTTGAACCGTTGTCACTCAATATTCTGTACTATGAAATACACGGTATATATTTTCTCTTTATGTGTCTTTTTTAATGGTCAAAACATTGGTGAGGCAGTACCCTCAATGCGTCAATGGAAGCTACACTACTGCTCGAGTGAGGGAAGATTGGGCTCGATCCTCGCCCGGTTCAATTCGAAGATTTGACTGCCTCTCTGCCAAGCACGCAATATTTAGGAGTAAGAACAATGATTGGTCGGTCCGATTTCAGAATCATAACTTCCTCATGTTCCTGCCGTATAATACAAAGTCTGATTCATATTCATCTTTTCGTCCTAAATATGCATATGTAAAATACATATCCAACGAACACTTATATATATGACCCTACATCCTTATAATACTTATATTTTATGATCCACTTCTAACGTTGCCTAGACCCCCCCCCCCCCCGCCCCCCCCCCCCCCCACCTTTTTTTCAAAATCCTGGATCCGCATCTGGCACCGAAATCTTATAACCTTATTTTTTTCTATGTTTCTTACCTAACACATTTTCATGTAAAAATGTATGCAGTAAAACAAATTCGGTGACCCCCCATTAATTGTTTATAATACTATAAGTTAATTTATTCTGAGGGATATAAATAAATTACCGGGAAATGTCCGTTGAATTTGGACTCCGATGGCATTCACGTTGAACATAACAACACAGAACAATCCTTAATCGAGCACACCTTCTAAAATACAACCTATTTAGGCAATGTTTTATCAATATATTTTATAATGAATGAAAAATACTTTTGTTTAGAAAATAGATGGAAGCAATTGTGTGTATTTCAATTTTGAACTTTTATAAAGAGACAGATTCCGACAAACACTAGTTTCGATATTTCTAAAATTGTCAGAAAATATTCTTTTAAATGTTTTCCCCGCAACACATATAATAAAAAGATAGATAAAGAAGGAAAGAAAGAAAAACATCGGATAATGAAAAAAAAGCATAATGGGGCGTGCATCTGCAAAATAATTGTCAAAATTAAAACTATGAAAGATTACTCAAATCGATCGTAATATGATTATATGTGTGTGTTTATACGTGATAATATAAAAGTGAAAATGAAGGCGGTAATCTGGGGAACCACGTGATAAATATAAAGGCACAATTTTTTTTCTCAATTTTCGTCATGAAAAAAATATTTTATATGGAATTTTTTAGAGATTACATCAAAATATTTAAATCGCTCGAGATTAACTTTAAAACGAGACATAAACCCCTTTATCAAGCCCTCTTCATAAACAAACATATATTATCCTGATATTTCATTGGTTCACGCACGAACCATTTGTTCTATAAGATACTTCCTTACTGATAATCGTTCAATTTTATTTAATATATTTGTATAAACCAAAGTTCATATCATCGATGTCATATGATTAAAAGCAATTAAGGAAGTTTTTGTGAATAAAAGATACATTCTAAAAACTTCCCGGATTAGTTCCAAGAATTTTATTAAGAGTGAAAGTGTGTAATTATCACGATTATTTCTTCATTTGATAATCATATAGACGGATTCATATCGTTTAAGCTATGGTAAGAACACATGTTTAAATACAATTATAAATGTGATTTCACTTTTACAGAAGTATATAGGAATAGAAGGATTAAAGATGAAACAATATGTTTCTGTTGATTGCTATATTTCAAAATATACAAACAGTATAGGCCGTCGAACATGTTGTCAAGCTATTGTGAATGTTGTGTATACTCATGGCCTTTAGTTAAATATTTTTTTATTTTTAAGAGATTATTCATGGAAAAGGCATTATTATTGACTAGAAAAAAGCTTAATGATAGAAGTTTGAAGTAAATATGAGGAAATAACTCTGATTTCAGAAAAAAAAACAAAGACAAATGGGACAGCTACTCTCGTTATCTTGCTTCAAAACAAAATATATCAAATCAACTGTTTACAAAAGTTTTCTTATGAAGCAAACATTTTGTTTAAGTTTTGAATCAGTCATAAGTATTGTTGTAAATACAAGAAGGTTACTTAAATTCGATCATTATTTTTACGAGCATGAATAAACAGATACTGTATAATGAATTTGCAACATCAAATTTTGAGTTCACTTGAAGATAAAAGAAAAGCGAAAGATATCAAAGGAATATTCAAACTCAAACGTCGATAACAAACAGACAATGCTATGACAAAAGACGAAAAAACAACGAAAAAACAAACAATACACAAAACACAACATAGAAAACTAAAGACTGAGCAAGACGAACCCCATCAAAAACCGGGGATGATCTCAGTTGCTTCGGATAGTTAAGCAAATCCTGCTCTACATGTGGCACCCGTCGTGTTTTTCAAGTTAGTACAAATCTGGTAATAAGTCTAATTCAGTAGATTCTTTCGAGGAAAGAGGACTTGGTAAAAAATGGTGTATCGAAAGTGCTTTTTTGGATATACATCCACAATGAAAGCTCAAGCTAAATAAATGAAAGATAGACATGTATTATTGAAAGCTAGAAATACATCTTCCTCAAGCAAAGCACTACTTCTTTATCAGGGTTTGGTCATTTTCAATAAAATCAGCTCTTCGTTGATTTTTAGTTTTGGGTTTGAGTAATTTTTGATATATATTTACTTGGTTAAAATCATTAGAAACACTAATGATATGTCAAAGTTCTATATTTTTCAGAAAACCGTTGTTTTATTTATTCTGTTCATTGGTAGTTCAGCGTTACATCAAATCAACCAGGACCTGGATAGAGAATGGCTACTTTTTAAAAAAACATACAACAAGGCTTACGACAATGAAAGTGAAGATCGATTGAGGTAGAGACTTTTGTGTAATATTCTGCAATAACAGACTACAAAGATATAGGTCATTCTTAATTTCAAATAGAAAATTAAATGAACATATGACAAATTTTTTCTCTAAATATGACCATAGAAAACCAAATATTTCTCTATCACAACGGGCTTTAATATTATAATCTATCGTTTATTTAGTACGTGTTACTGCGATTTTGAATATTTGAAAAAGTTCGAAAGTTTAGACCTGTACCGTATACCCTGTATCATACACCCCTGTTTAAATATATGATAAAATGATTAATACACGATAAAATCAATATGACATGCGGTATCACCTTCGAACAATGACCTTAGCCGTATATGGCACCATTATTTGCTGTATTTGTTTTCAATGCTCTTTTTCTTCGTTTTTTATTGGGCCTTCCAACTTTTTTGATCCGAGCGCCACCGATGAGTCTTGTATAGAATAAAACATTGCAGCATACCAATTTATAAGTAAAATCTTGGTATCATTGATACGTTTACATATTTGGCCGATGCAGCTGCTTGTGGGAGCCATTAGTAAGTTTTATGTAAGCGAAACGCGTGTCGGCGTACCAAATTATAATTATGGTATCTTTGAAGAGTTTTCACAACAATTCTTAATGTTGTGAGAAAGTTGAACGCTCGACAACATGTTAAACTACGCCATATTTTGTTTCTGTCTAAAGCTAGGAACCTATTATTTAGTGGTTGTTGTTAATTGCTGTCTGTCTTATTTTTTCGTTCATTGTTGTGGTATAAACCAGGCCGTTGATTATCCAATTTAAATTTACCGGTACCAGTCATCGCTTGATTTACAGAACAATTTTGACTCTTTGTTTAGAAAGTATCTCAGTGGGTAGGACTGTTTTACATACATGGGACTTTTGATGTAAACAGTGTATACAATATACGATGCTTCGAAAACATATTTGCCCCTTCAGTCTACACCAAATTACATAGAATGAGACGAACACAAACATGTATATGTAACACTCAGAAACGTGTCCTTCCCCCCCCAAACGTGTCCGATTTCCCAAAACGTGTCCACATGACGTCACTGAACATGGCTACATGTAAAAGGGCGCCAAAGCGTGTCATTTGTCTAAACACCCAAACGTGCCCAATCCCCCAAACGTGTCCAATCCCCCAAACGTGTCCATATCAAGCTTAATTTTTTTTCTTTTACTAGAACTATCATTCGTGTCCATATTATAAATACGTAGGTTATTTGGTTATTGTTTTTTCATTAACGTATACTCTTTTACTATTTCATTAAAAAATAGAAATAAATTACTTTAGGTCTTTTTTCAACCGGCAGTATAACCTGGGTAAAAAGTGGGGCGTCCGTTCAGCTATGTTGGATGTAAATGTAAGCAGCCATGCTGAGTTAAATTGTAGATATTAAATCAGATACCTCGTGTAGGGAGAATGTCACTATCTCTGCGCATTAAAAACTTTGTAGCATTTCACTCTTTCATGGAGCCATCTGTTGTATTTTGGAAGGCAACATTTTTTTTTTAATTTCCGTAACTTTTATTTAAAACGGCCTCTATTACATAACGGAGATTGAAGTAGTTTCTTACTGAAGTCATAAAAAAATCGGTCTTTACTGGCTCTTAATATTTTTAGATTAAAATTCCAACTAGTGTTAAAACCGAATAACCATAAAAATTTAGGCCCAATCCTAAATTCCCGGTATGATAATAAAACCTATGTACAGTATTTATTGTTAACATGACGTCGTTCAAATAATGCATGAAATATTTGGCACTGGACGTTATGTCTCTTGTTTGTGTGTCTTTAGTGATGCTCGAAACCTAAAATTTATTAAAAAACCTGACAAACAGTTTATGATTTGAAGAGCTTTTAAAATACCAGAACTGTTGAAAAAAGGGAAGTCCATTCTGCAGAAAGCCCGCCGTGCGCAATATTCGGTTTAATATAAAAGGCATCATCGGAGTTTATTAGTACAAAATAATTTACATAGTAAACGATTAATTCAACTGTACTAGAATTATTTGTATGTTCGCTCTAAATGAGCATGAAATTCTTGCAACTGGACAATAAGCAAATTCAGTCAAAAGTTAATTCATATATTACATATTTAATTTGCAATTATGATAATCATTAACAACCGGCATTGGACAAACTATTGCTAATAAAGGACCATTTAATCAACTGTGTCCCTCATCATAGAATTGCTGTAAACGTTATTGATGTCATTTAGGACATACATGTATTAGCACTAAAAGACGTGAGACGTTCTGGCGTTTAACAGTGGACACGTTTTGGCGAATAGCAATTATCGGACACGTTTGGGGGTTATGAAATCGGACACGTTTGGCAATATTGAATATTACGGACACGTTTGGGGGAATCGGACACGTTTGGGAGTGTTACATATATGTTATATGTTTTTCTATTTTTTGAAGGATCTAGTGTTGTGTTATTGAACTTTGTCCAACATTTTCCTTTATTGATTTAATAATTTCGGTAATTAAAATATAAATTTCCAAAAATTCCAGAATAGGGCACTTGTTTAAATGTATTTTTCTTTTAATAAAGACGATATATTTGGGAGACGAATATTCAATATATTGAACACCACAATTTGGCGGCTGATAGAGGAGAACACAGTTACTGGCTTGGTTTGAATCATATAGCTGATATGGTAAGAATTCAATCAACAAGCTACGTTACATTACTACTCATAGAAGCTAGGGACATTTTTCTTCTGTATCTTAGTTGAACTTACAATAACACGTGTACATGTGAATAAAAAGAAATTTTAAGGATACGTCAACTCAAAAACGAAACAAAAACTATGTTCAAATTTAAACATGTCAATATGTAGAAAATGAAAAGCACTTAGTAATTGGATCGAGTGTGTGACTTTGTGAATAACATTGACTAACATAAATATGGAATCAACACCAATAGGTTGCACATCTGTTAATATAGATAACGCAGTTTCCATAAGGAACTCTTTTACACCTAAAACGGTGCCACTTTTACTATGAAGTTTCATAATAAATCATATCCTAAATGGAAAGTTCACATGCACAGCTATTGTTTGCAAAGGTCAAAACATAGGGTTGTGCAGCATTTTATCAACATTTATATGCGTTGAACGTCATAGATTTTATGCTTATACTCAAATTCCGTGCTGTCCTTCACTTTACTTTGCGTCTCCCAGAAAAATCAATTTGAACTGTTTTCATAATGAGTAAATTCTCAAGTTGTGACTCTAGGATATTTACCATGCAGACTATATATGGGAACCAATGGGTAAACGAAACAAAAGATCTGTGACTGTTAATAATCTCTTAAAATAAGGCGTGGTTTGAGAATCAAATATATTTGAAAAGTGCAACCTATAGGAACACAGTATTATTTAGAAATGTCAACCGCCCACTGGCTGACAAATGTCCCGACTCAGGTAAAGCACATGCAGATGTGGCGTGGTTATACTATTTTGTTTATTGCTCAACGATCTTTTTTAATCTCAACTGATCATATGTATTGTATAAATTTACGTCGAAGTAACAACACATTATATGATGTTTCTGTAATTTATTCATTCCGTCATTATTAATATTTTTCTGGTAGTAGTCAGGAAGAAACATCCAGGTACGAAATTTTTTCAATAATGTTATAAAGCAAACAATTTGCCTCAATGTATGACGATACAGTGTCCGATTTTTGTAGTCTATTGATGAGGTGATCGAGAAAATGACAGGTGGAATGGTACCTAGAAACACAAGTGAAGGTTCTACTTTTCTTCCTCCAAATAATGTACAGATTCCCAGTGAAGTAGACTGGAGAAAGAAGGGCTATGTTACTCCTGTGAAAAATCAGGTATATTTATTCTATTAACAGCTTCATAATACAAAAAAAAGGAGAAATGGTAAACACTCATTAAAGATCCCATACCTTTGTCATTTCGGGGTAATTTATAGATAGAAAATCCTTAGTATTTCGAAAAAATAAAAGTTTTGTAAACAGTTAATCTATAATTATGACCATATCGTAAAGGTTTTTTGGGGATTAAAATTTCGTCCAAAAAAGAAGAAAACGTCACTTATAAATGTTGCCGATTGGCACTCAAAGATGTTTGCACTATATATTGGTTTTGTGTATGATTGTATAAATAACTTTTCCTGTTTAAAGTGCTTCGGCACTGTCCAAACTTAGAGATACAATTTTAAATTGAATTTAATTTGATAAATTCCGTTCTGTTTATGTTCATCTTTAATGCCAACGAGTCTATTCTATCATTTGGCTTCCCAAGCTGAATGTTATTCTATAATACATGTTTTCTCATATAAAACTATCATTATGTAATTGATGTTTTTTTATTTCAAAGTCAAGTTTGCCGGGGACAATCTTAGTTCTATGATATAAAAAGAAGGTTTTTCCTTTTACTTAGAAACAGCTGTTTCTCATTTTCATGTTAGTTATATATTTTCGCATCATCAGGGTTCGTGTGGATCATGCTGGGCATTCTCAGCTACAGGATCGTTAGAGGGCCAGCATTTCAGGAAAACAGGGAAACTCGTATCGTTATCAGAACAAAATCTGATGGATTGTTCTTCAAAATATGGTAAGTAGAATAATCGAGTATGACAACAGTGAGGAATAATAAGCAAAGTCTGGCAAAATTGATAAATTCATCCAAAAAGTAAAATAACAAAAATACCAAACTCCAAGGGAAATTCAAAAGGGAAAGTTCTGTATAAAATTACAAAATCCAAATCTCTAACACATCAAACGAATGGAAAACAACTGTCATATTTCTAACTTGGTACAGGCATTTCTAATGAGGGAAACGGTGGATTAAACGCGGCTTTATAACTAGCTAAACCTCTCACTTGTATAACTGTCTCATAAAATTCCATTATATTGACAACAATATGTGAGCAAAACAAACCGACATAATAGGTAAAAATGTCAAAAATTGGGGTACAGCAGTCAACATTGGAATATAATCTTAATCACTATAAAGCAGATAATTTCAACAAAGAAAAACAAAATTGCGTATAGACACTCTATAGACAAAGTACATCAGCAAATATGAAAAACAAGAATACAAAATTGGCCATAGTACAATAACACAATGTCGGGATGTATAAGTACCGACCCACGCCAATAGTATATCACCAAAAATGGACCAACGGCGTATTGTGCAAAGTTTAAAGTGCTATGCATATCGGATGTCCCCCTTTGATGGTAATTAAATTCATGCTTAGATGTACGAGAACAGACTGTATGTAGATAAACGACTATCTCAAAATTGAAGAAAAGACTTGCTTTAATCTATTTCGAGGTAGGAATTGTAATAGCTTTTGTCAAAATGTGTTTCTTTGTCTTTTCAACGAATATATTCTAACAGCTACTATGATATTGAATCACATATTTGTCAATTAACCTAATGTGAACCATTGTTTGTTGAGCGTTTAGAGTGTAGTAAACGCCCAAGTATAGAAGTGAAGTTGCTAATTCTTACTATTGGTGTTGCTGTGTAATTAGTGGCAAACTGAATGTGAATACACTTGATCAGGACTTGAAAAATTCTGACTGAATATTATTCAGAGAGTAAAATAAACAGTAGTTCCTTGTACAGATCACGATCTATTACCGCTAAATTTAAAAAATTGAAAAATGTATTCATTAACTTTTGAAATGAGGTCTGGTGGATAAGTAGAAAAAAGAATCCCTCAGTATATTTGATATATAAATAATGACAAAAAATGAAAACAACACTTTATAAATTTCTTGCGTCCGAAGAAAAAATGGATTAGGAGCCTAATAGTCAATTTAACAATAATGTATATATAATATACAGCCAGCTTAATTCAATCAGTGGCAATTACAATAATAATAATGATCGAATGTATCACATTGCGTTTGTAAGTGAAATGTAGGGAGCCGTTAGATTATTTCAGAAATCTTAGCTCTCCCAAGAGGTATATGACTTTTCGCAATTTTATCTATCATTTACCTTTGGAAGATATTTTTGACATTTCCTATTCACATTCCAAGTAAGTAATGGTCTCTTTACACATTGAGTTGTCTGTAGTGAAATAAGTATTGATAAATTCAAAACTGGCAGATGTTTATGAATTGTTGGACGAATTCGTAAAATAAATAAATGTATTAAGAAAGTTTGTGTCGTTTTTTGTCTCATTTACGTTACTGACATATTTCATTCATTTAGAGATATTAGCGGACTCTTATTCGTAGCCGTTTAACAGTTTCCCCGACCGATTCATTATGTTTCAACCTCGCTTGTTTTGAGTTCTTGATTTGTTAAAATTCAATTTTGGTGTTGAATTTATATTATTGTCGTCGTCTTATTGTGATATTGTGACGTCACATGTCCTTAGAGCACACTTTATGATCTTTTCATATTAGTTAAAATCATTACAGAAACATATTCCAAGCTCTTGACTTATTTAAAACACTAGCAAGCTTAACGTTTCAAAATGTGAAAATTTAGCCGTCTCAGACTGTCCATAAAATCTGTATATTTTAAACGTTAAGTCACACATCTATACAGATTCTGATGATTTAAATAACTTTTATGTAGAGTTGTTGTTATATTTATAATTAGTTAGGTGAAAAAGTCAATGGCATATTTTAGAAAGAAAAACAACATATATTTATATTAAATCTAGGGAACAGAGGCTGCAATGGAGGTTGGGTATCTACTTCATTTGCATACGTCAAAAATAACAGAGGCATAGATACAGAAAATGGCTACCAATACGAGGGAAAGGCAAGAAAAACTGAATAACATATAGTAGTTTATAGATCAATTAGGACTATTTTAATGTATCAAAGAAATAAGATACATAACGTTCATGTTAAAGAAAGAGATAATAATACTTATTAAATTATTGCATGAATTAATGAAATTAACAGGTGGCTGCTTGACTGAAAAGAAGATAGGTGTAAGACTAGCAATTTTCCATGAAAAATTAAGTTTTTTAAAAATCTTGATGATCAAAGCACATAATTTAAGCATCAAATGAGTTAAACTGATGTGGCTCTAATAATAAGTTGCGATATTTGACAAATGAAAAATGTAGACCTTTCTACCAATTCCGTCAAATATTTACATGTATAAAGATCGGATGCATGATTTTCCGTATTCTGCACCAAGCAGTTTATCACAGCATATTTTGTTTTATCAATTCGTATACACTGTATTCATTGTAATGAAGTTATTGGAATCATTAATTTTGCATCAAATACTTGTAAGTTTACAGGTGCATGTATTTTGTCTACGATACAGGTTGGAAACTGCCGGTACACGAAATCTAACATTGGAGCTACTATCACAGGACACATGATGATAAAACAGGGAGATGAAAATCAGTTAAAGGAGGCCGTAGCAACAGTAGGACCTGTTTCGGCATGCATTGACGTGGATGAAAATTTTCAGCTGTACAAACGAGGTCAATATCTTTGAAATTAACGAATAACATATTCTACCTCTATAACTGTAAAAAATGTGGTAATCAAAACATCATATATTTAACATGTATGTGTCCCTTCTGATTGTTGTTAAGTAAGACATTTCAAGTTGTTGATCAATTATGCTGAACTTCGACAAGTATTTTACGTACAATGTAAGAGACCGAAATTTATTCATGTTTTTTTTTATACCTTTGAACTTCTGCATTTCTTTCTCTAAATGCGCGAATTTTAATACCTAAAGCAAACATGTGAGATCGATTCAATTATATTAATAGATCAATGATATTTGATCGACTAATGAATGTCTCGTACACATTTGCAGTAAAGTAATTATAAAGAACAAACCGTCTAGGACGTCGTCCGGGTTACCAAGGTCCTCTTCTGCTACACGGAACACTGTAGTATTTGATTTGTGTGTTCCACGAAACATCCTCCGGGATATCCCTAAGTTTATTTAATACTACCTTAAGACCCCAGCGTAGTCAAGGGCAAAAACATTACCACCAGCCCAGTGTTTAAAAGTCTTCTAAATCTAGATCGCCCTCCCGGAGCTTTGATGACCTTCTTTCACATCTTCATCATCCGCATGGGTTGCTTACATTAGAACTATTCTTTTATCACTGCCTGTTAATTTTCTTAAATGTTTGAGAGATTATGCACTTGAAAAAGGATATATAGATACATTTTCGCCAAAATACAGACTGGTCATTATGATTTGTGATGTAGCTCTTTTCCGTCTTTCAAACCAGTAAGATCGGAACCTTTACATGATGAAAAGATGAAATTCCTTCCTATTAAGTTTACTAATGAAGGAATTGATGCTACCAACGTTCTTCATCACAAAGAGGTAACATCTAGAATTTCAATTTATTTTTAAAATCAGTCTGTTCATATTGTATCCTACAGTTACGACAAAACCATTGCAAATATTTAACTATAAGCAAGCTTTGCAGGACCTGGATTTCGCAAAATACCTAAAGAAAACCTCCGACATGTGACTGTTCCCACTCGCCTTATATTTACAGCCCCTCTTGCCATGTTATAACTGGGGATCTAAACATAATTAAACATGAACATCTCCGAAAGGTGATATCTCATGGTCCTAAGTTCAGAGAACCCCAACACATCAATTGGAACCATAACTTCAAAATAAATATGGATTCCATTGAGCTAAACAAACTGGACACATTGTCAGAATGGGTAAAAGCAATCGGGTCTTTGATAAAACGTCGCATTCATAAGTTGAAATTAGTCTCGATCATTCGCTGAAATTAATTCTATCAAAACTAATGATTTTTCAACCCTGTATACAACCATTCCTCCTGTGAAATTGAGAAATCGTCTAAAAGAAATAATCCACAATGCTTTTCAATATAACTAGAGGCTCACGAGAGCCTGAATTACTCACCTGGTTTTAATTAGATTATTTGAACATGTAAAATGCAAAATGTCAGGGAACATTGTAGCCTCGATATTTACTAGTACAAAACTTGGTCTACACCTCATAAGGAACATTCATACCATAACTGGTTTCAATATATTTATCAGTTCTCTAGCGGAAGACATTGGTTTTGTAAGTTATAGGGTTATATAAGCCCCCTTTCTGAAGCTATCCTGGATGACAAAACGACAACAAAGTTATAACACTTTGTCAGCACCACATAACGAACATTCATCCCATGTTTGGTTTCATTCCATTCAGTTGTTGTCTAGAACAAAACATTTTTATGTAATTCCTATAACTAAGTCTCCTGCTGGCAGCCCTCTTTGATAACAGATAAGCAACGTAGTATCAATTCTTTGTCAGCACATCATAAGAAACATACATACCATGTTTGGGTTAAATCCATTTAGCGATTATTTAGTAAACATTTGTATATATTTCCAATAGGATACTTTGTTAAACTTAGTCCCCTTCTGCCAGCCATCTTGGATGAGGGATTGGCTACAAATTAAAGTAACAACACTCAGTCAGCACCTCATAAGGAACATTCCTGCTATGTTTGGTTTCATTGCATTCAGTGGTTCTCTAGAAGAAGAAATTTGTATGTATTTCCCGAAGGGTCCTATGTTATACTTAGTACCCTACTGGCGGCCATCTTGGATGAGGGATCGGCAACAAAGTAACATCGATTGGTCACCACCCCATAAGGAACATTCCTGTTACGTTTGGTTTCATTCCATTTAGTGGTTCTCTAGAAGAAGACATGTGTATGTATTACCCATAGGGTCCTATGTTAAACTAAGTCTCCGGCTGGCGGCCATCTTGGATGATGGATCGACTACAAAGTAACAACAGTTGGTCATCTTTTCATTAGAAACATTCATGCCATGTTTGGTTTCAATTCATTCAGTGGTTATCTAAAAGAAGACATTTTTATATATTTCATATAGGGTCCTATGTTAAACTTAGTCCCCGGCTGGCGTCAATCTTGGATGAGAGATAGACTATAAAGTAACAACTATTGGTAAACACCTCATAAGGAACATTCCTGCTATGTTTGGTTTTATTCCATTTAGTGATTCTCTAGAAGAAGACATTTATATGATTTTAGAATAGGGTCCTATGCTAAAACAAGTCCGGCACTGGTGGCCATCTTGGATGATGGATCGGGTACAAAGTAACAACACTTGGTCAGCACCTCATTAGGAACATTCATGCCATGTTTGATTTCATTTCATTCAGGGGTTCTCTAGAAGAAGACATTTGTATGTATTTCCCATAGGGTCCTATGTTAAACTAAGTCCCCGGCTGGTAGCCATCTTGGATGAGTGATCGGCTACAAAGTAATAACACTTGGTCAGCACCTCATAAGGAACAGTCTTGCAATGTTTGGTTACATTCATTCAGTGGTTCTCCATTAGAAGACATTTGTATGTATTTCCCATAAGCCCTATGTTTAACTACGTCCCCGGCTGGCGGCCTTCTTGGATTAGGAATCAGCTACAAAATAACAACACTTGGTCAGCACCTCATAAGGAACATTCAGGCAATGTTTGGTTTTATTCCATTCAGTGGTTCTCTAAAGGAAGTTTAAAATGTAAAAAGTTACCGGACGACGGACAACATACGACGGACGACGGACGGCGAACGCCAAGTGATGAGAAAATCTCGATTGACTTTTAGGTCAGTTGAGCTTAAATTGGCAGCATACGCTATGAATTTATTGCTTTGGGTTACCATACGGCATATTTTCTTAATAGTGAAAAAAAGGTAAAACTTGCTACACAGAGATACAAGTGATCAGTATGCTGGAGGTTCTCATTGACAACATATGTGTTGAATTTAGAGGTAGACTTTTTTAGCAAGATGTCGACATTCCTATGGGCATGAACTGTGCGCCTCTCATTGCCGACCTCTTCTTATTTTCATATTAGTCGGAGTTCCTTCAGACACTTGTCAAAAACAAGAAAATCAAAAAAGCCCGATCATTTATTTTCACATTCAGATATATTGATGATGTTCTTTCCATTAACAATCCAAACTTTTCTGATTGGGTTCCATTAATATATCTTCCAGAACTAGAAACTAAAGAAACAACAGACACGGCTTCCTCCGTCTCTTGTTTAGACTTATACCTTGAATTTAACATAAGTGGTGATCTCCAGAATCTATGACAAGCGAGACTATTTTAATTTTTTGAAATTATAAATTCCCCCCACCTTAGCAGCAATATACCAACTTCACCTTCAAGAGCTTGCAGCTTCTACTCAGACTTTATAAAACGTCACAAGTGTTTGAGCAAAAAGTTGATGAGCCAAGGTTATATCAAAGGACGTCTCGTCCTGTTTCTAAAAACGTTCATTGGAAGACACGAAGACCTTGTTGATAAATATTTCGTATCAACTTCACAAATGATACATGATGGTCTTGAAGTATAGATTCAAGGTACTGACGTTGTTTATCATCTTAATTACGTGTTAAAGTCCCCCTTTTGTCCTTGTATAATTCAAAACTTTACTGTTTATCCATTTTTGATTATATACCTATGATGTGGATCGGTACTTATACATCCTGCCATTGTGTTATTGTGCTATGGTAAATTTTGAGCTCCTGTCTTTAATTTTGCTTATGTACTTTGTCTATATGCCATTTTGTGTTTCTTTGCTGAAACAGTTATTTGTTTTATAGTGATTAAGGTTGTATTACAATGTTGACTGCTGTTCCCCTAATTTTGACGTTTTTACAATTACCTATTATGTCTGTTTGGTTTGCTCACACATTGTTGTCAAAATAATGGAATTCTATGCGACTGTCATACAAATGAGAGGTAAAGCTAGCTATAAAACCAGGTTTAATTCAATATTTTCTACTTGAGGGAATGCCTGTACCAAGTCAGGAATATGACAGTTGTTTTCCATTCGTTTGATGTGTTTGGGCTTTTTATTTTGCCCTTTGAATTTCCCTTGGAGTTCGGTATTTTTGTTATTTTACTTTTTATTATACTTTTGACTTTTATACTTTTCGAGATCAAGTGATAAAAACGACCTGATCATATCTTCACCTTCCCAAACTTATGAAATTCCATTCATACGAAGATAAATTTCATGAACACTTGAATATGTTACGTATAATCCCTATGGTTTACGTGAATAGATTGTATTGCTGCTTGTAAGGCGATACAGAATCCAGAATAGGAAAAAGGTCTGACCTTAGCTAACTCGCAGTGATTAATAAATCAAGTCTAAAATATAATTCGTAATATCATATCTATTATCAAGGTTTCTATATGTATCCAAATTATCAATATTATATTATTTCAATATATATTTTAATCTTTTGTGTATTGTAATATAATGTACTATTTCTAGTGATACATGTATATGATGGTTACGTCCTTGTATACATTTTCTGTTAACTAAAATAAATGTGACAAACTCGAACGAATGAATAATATATAGAGAAATGTAGTAGATATTGATGAATGATGCAAATAATAGAATAAGCGATTAAATGAACAAGACGATAATTGAAAAAGCCAAAACCGATCAGTCGGGGAAGATATATTATAAATCGGCTAAGAATGATAGAAAGTATTATATAATGGCTATAAAGTACACACTTTGAAATAATTCAACAAGTGTCAGGATTGAAATTTTAAAGTGTTCATGTGGTCGGTCGATGTTGCAAGTCAAGAATTTCGTCAGTGATTGTCTTATAACGTGTCGGTTATTTTATGCACATCTTTTATAACCTGGAGAAGATTTAGAGTATGCAATATTATTATGAAACATATTGCACTTGTCTTTTGGTTGTTTGTTTTTTTTGATTTTTTTCCCTCTTGTACGTGAACCCAAAATCCCTTTTTAATCATATAAATGTTTTCAAAATTTAAAGATTTTATAACTTAAGACTAAACTGTTGGCTGATGTAAATGTATTCCTCCTTAGTGTCCGTATTCCTATTATGTGCACTGTAGTGGCAATTATTTAAAATATTTTCTAATTTGTACAAATATTTGTTAGTTTCTTGAAGTACAATATATTAAATGAGAATTACTAATAATTTCAGGTGTATTCAACAATCCGAGCTGTAAGCCTTACCCCACAAATCACTGTGTACTTGTTGTTGGATATGGCACACAAAGTGACGATAATTATTGGCTTGTTAAAAACAGGTACCAGTAAATACAATACTCTTCCAGTAACTTTTTATTTATTACAAGTTATTTTATGTTGTAACATTTGATTTGATAATTGGGTTTTATCTATAGAATATTGGCAATAATGTCTTCAAACCTGTTAAACAACAGTTCTAAAAAAAAATCAACGTGCAAATTATTATTAAGTCTTGGTCGCAATATATGCCCGTTACGCACTGAAACGAAATAAGGCAATAATTAAACAATCAATCAATTTGTTTTTAAACTTACTTTATTAGCGGTCAACATTTCGTAATGCTTAAATATTTATTATTGAAACTGTTCAGAATTTAAGTGTCACATGTGTGAAATTTCCGAATTGATGTATATTACAATGAACGCATATAAACATGATAAAGAGACAAATAAAATAACATAAATGTTTATTATCATCAGCAGGGATTTCAAGAAACCGTTAATATTTTTACGCGTAAAACACCTATAAAAATGTTCCACTTTAATACCCGTACTACAGTTATATCGAAAAAGTAACAATTCACTTGTGTATTTCCTTATTTCAGTTGGGGGAACAGCTGGGGAATTGGTGGATACATATTGATGTCAAGGAACAGGAACAATCAGTGTGGCATAGCAACAGACGCCATATACCCACTTATGTGATATCTAATGATGCTGAACTTTGTGGAATTACTAAGAGTATTTCAATAAAATAATAAAATAAAAAAAAAGAGTATAAAATGAGTTTTCCGTGCTCTTTCATTCAACAAGATGAAAAATACAAGTTATCAAATCTGATATTAAGAGATGTGACTATAAACGTATGAAAAAATAAACTGAAAAACGTTTCATGATGCTCTTTACTTACGCAAAAACAGCTGTAAGCAAATATTACCAATTAACCAGTTTTGTAACTAATGCAATACTTTTCGAATTAATGTTAGTTTGATTTGTTGTAGTAAATTTCTTATTTTAAACATGTATTACAGATGCAATATGCAAGATGTACATGCACTCTTTTCGAAAAAGTCATGCAATGCAAAGTAGCATTTTCTTCACACTATCTTAATGTTGCAATATTTTCGAAAAGCAGAAAGTTTTAGATAGTGCAGTTATGTTGTATCAGTTAGTTCCCAAAAGCCGGTTACAAGACTTGTTCTTAGTTTTTGTTTGTACGTCGTTTTTTTGTTTTTTTAGGAGTTGAGTGTAGTTGGTAGATTTAGTCTGTTGTGCCGTCAAATATGTTTGTCTATTCCTGATATCTTTTTATGTAAAATTTTATTTTTTGACATTTGCGTTGAATAACAGTTGCTTTTTTCAAAAATTGTCTACCAAAGAAACGATTATGTAACGGATGCTTACCTTTATATTGTTTTATGATTCTTTTTTCGAAATAAAAGTTGACTAGTTAAACATTGGAATTGTTTAAAAAAACAACGAGATTCATTGAGTAATAAAAAGATATATTAAGTTTTTGAGATTGATTTGTTTCATCTGTTATGCTGTTTTCCTGCACTGGTTTTCATTGTATGTTCTAGAATGCCCGCTTCATATCTTGATCTTTTCCACGATTTTGACACATATTAAGACTTTAACGTAGAATCGATGACAAACCTGATGATTTCAACTCTCCAATTATTAACTTCGTTATTTCTCAGCTGTAACATATCCTCTACTCCATCATATGGCAATTACATATTTCAATTGATACAATACTCTCCTGCATGTTTATGCCAACAAACGTCATTATCAGGGGCATACTCCTTACAGTAACATAATACTGCTCCAACAGAAGCATGCGTAACACTACATAATTGTCAGAAATCGGTTGAACGATACCACTGTGTCTAAACTACCCCGGCAAAAACTGTTTGGACTCGATAGTATCTAATATCCGGCACGGTGACGGAACATCAATAGACAGAGAAAAGGTAGTTTTCTGTTTATTTATTTGTTATTTTTATGATATCGAAGAATATATATACATATATCACTATTTTCTATTGTGAGATGTAATATTTTCTACAACCGTTCTAGATTAACAGAGGATTAAGTAAAAATGCACGTCAAAATGACGAATTGAGTGAACCTTGCCTCGAATTTGTTTAATTTCTCCTGAAATTGTTCACATGGTACGGAAAGAAAGGTACGGAAAGAAAGATATTGACTTGGAGATTGCAAAACTAGTCACTTTGAGCACCTCAATCCTTGTATTTCTGCGTATGGAACGAAAGAAATAGGTCATGTCAAAATGGAAGCACCCGGTTTTGTCAATGTTGTTTACTACACAATGACCCGGTTTTGTCTATGTATAGATCCCGGTTTTGTTTATTTTATGAAAAACTCTTACGTTAACACTGGTACCCTGAAACAAAAACATAAATTTACAAATAGCTGATCATGTGGGTTTTCAAACCAGATACCTCAATAAAGCGTGTGGCCAAGTTTGATTAAATTGTTAAAGAGGAGAAGATTTTTGTAAGATAATTGCCAAAAACGCAAAAAAATATATGGTAAAAAACGTAATTAAATGTCAATAATTCTTACAAGGATATCGACCAAGTCGACTTATTCGTATATATTGTCTTGCTGATCATTTTTGCTATATAACTTTTATATATTTCAAGATAATAGACGGAAATGGAAAAAAAGGAGAAATTTGTCATTCAATGACATTATATCAACTTCTATAAGAATTCGTGTGAGAGTTTTGATGTGTATGGACAAAAAGTAGAGCTCAACATTATGAACATATCTGCCCTTGTTAAATTTTCTCTAACTATAGCTGTTTTCAAATAATAGACAAAACTTGCATCCCCCTATGTTCTATTTTAAGCCATGTCAACCATCTTTGTTGACAAGCGGGGTCATTAAAAACTTTTTAAACTAGATACCCCAATGATGATGAAAAACAGTTAAACATAAGTTCGATAGACCTTTTAAAACCGACATAAGGTTGTGGATAATGTTTGTTAAATGTATTGTAGCCCAGTAATTTCAGAGGAGAAGATTATGTAAAAAATTAACGGAAAACGACGGACGACGGGGGCCAAGTGATGAACAAAGCTCACTTTTTCCTTGGGGTCAGGTGAGCTAAAACCAACCAAGAATTCCATACAAGATTGCACCGTTCTTGAATTAAAAAAAGTCTAACATTTCATCATTAAGGCTTACACGAACGAGATAAACAAATCAGACATGGCAAAACAACGTCAACTACGTATTATTAATACAGGAGTGACTGTACGCACTGACATGTCGCGACTGCTGGAAAGATCGTTATCGAACTTATTGTGAAGGTCTGTAAGATAAACAATTTAATAAAAGTATCTCATAAAATGAACATTGCTCATGGAACCATAAAAAAGTCAAGGTCTGATGAAACCTGCAAGACGGACATGAACACATTACAATAACTAAAACCAACAAAAAAAAAACCTTTACATTTACCAATTAATCAAGAAAATAAGTTCAAGGTCACTTAAATAGTCATGTGCGCCATACGAGCAAACATAGTTGACCTATTACTTATGGTATTAGAGATACTGACTTGAACACGAAATGTTAATCTTGATCATAGATATCAACCATTATCAGCTATTCATTTTGTTAGGAAATCGCTGAACCATGAAAATAAGGTCAAGGGCAATGTACATATGATGGATAGAAACATCGTTCAGTGGCGGATCCAGAAATTTTCATAAGGGGGGCCATTGACTGCCTAAGAGGGGGCCGCTCCAGTCATGCTTCAGTGATTCTCTAAATAATCAACCAAATTTTTTCCACAAAAAAAGGGGGGGGGGGGGGGCTCCCTGAAAAAATCTCTAAATCCGCCTCTGTCGTTACATAAAAGATCTGTGTGCGAGGTATGTTGCAGTCAGGCCTTCTAACTTCTGACATATGAAGCTTCATACAAATAGTTCAAGCCTCCACGAATTTGCATTCCTTGGTCTCGCATTCCGACAATTCCAAAACATCAATGTGAATTTTTAGAACAAACATGATAATCCTATTCACATACATCCAATTTCCCTGCTTTCTTATTTGTTATAAAAATACACGCCCCCATCCCACCTTTGATGGCCAAAAAAATTAAATCTTTTTATTACGATTTTTTTTAGCATAATTCGTCCAAAACATTTCGCTTTGCTACGCTACGCTCTGTGGTATGTAAGCTTTTTGAATTACGCCCACTTTGGAAAAAAACCTGAATCCGTCCCTATATATTGTCAATGATATATTGACCAACGTCAATGTACGATAATCATAACACAATGGAGAGATAACAGAACCGTTTATTTATACAACTTTTAATAAACTAATCATTATAGCATTTTCTCGATGGCCTGAGACTATTATAATACTAATTTATACTTTGTATTATAGTTACAATTAGGGATAGATAGATTTGATTTTTAATGCATAATTATTATAATCCTTTTCTCATCATAAACATGCTTTTTCTATGGCGATTCTACAAGCATATATATATGCCTTATAATGAACATTTAGCCTTAAGAAAATTTATTTTAAACGATCATAGGAAATATTACACCCCTAGGTAGATTGGATTATTTATAAAGATAACCATCCTGTCGTGCAAGAAAATCACATAGCAAATGTGCGTCCTTTAATTTTTAAGACCATAAACTCTAATTTTAAGTTTAAACACTAAAATTTACATAATTCATATTAAAAAAACGTATAGAGAGCTTAAAACTCAATTTGCGGTTTAACCTTCATTTCTATCTATTTCGCAGTTAGAGAATTTTTTTTAATGCAAAGCAAAATTATAATTATTTTTGTTCCAATAAAGTAGGAATTCAAGTGTTTACAGATTCAAATAAATAACAGGTTGTCCTCAGTAAGAAATCGTTTTCCAACCAGCCACCAAACTCCTTTGAATTGCTGTAGTTCAATTATGTTATGCGATTATGCATTTTTTTTTCTTTGACAAAACTGGGTTCTGCCTTGTGAAGTCTAGGACAAAACCGGGTTGTACACCTTGACCAAACCGGGTTGTACACATTGACCAAACCGGGTGCTTCCAATTTGACATGACCCATTTCTTTCGTTTCATACGCAGAAATACAAGGATTGAGGTGCTCAAAGTGACTAGTTTTGCAATCTCCAAGTCAATATATTTCATTCCGTACCTTTCTTTCCGTACCATGTGAACAATTTCAGGAAAAATTAAACAAATTCGAGGCAAGGTTCACTCAATTCGTCATTTTGACGTGCGATATCATAAAGATAACAAATAAATAAACAGAAAACTACCTTTTCTCTGTCTATTGATGTTCCGTCACCGTGCCGGATATTAGATACAATCGAGTCCAAACAGTTTTTGCCGGGATAGTTTAGACACAGTGGATACGATGTATCTGTGTCTCAACTCATTAGCAAGACGGCTTAATTTGTAGATACCAAAATTACTGTTTAATTAGTAATTTTACTATTTGTTTCCTATTCCTGTTTGTGATATGTTGACTGATCGTTGATTCGTATGGCAGGTAATGTCAGGAGACGCTTACCCTGCCAACGTATCCGGTCTCGCTCTTTTCGAAGTACATGGGATTCTCTCGGTTTTTATTGGTTAACTTGCTTTTTTTCTCTTCTCAATCGATTTACGATATTTGAACAACTGTTGAATAACGATTGACTACTGCCTTAATTTAATGCAAGAAAAAAGTTGTGACAAATTGCAAATCATTTAAGGTAAGCGGTAATGGAAGCTTTTTCTACAGTTCCTCAATCTAATTGTCCATATCGCACCAGGTCATATGGAGATAATGCGATTCCCTCAGTATTTTGTTTGTCACCCTGATTTCTATTTTCCTGGTCAGTAACGAGAATAGATGTTAACTACGGTTGCCTAAAATTGTACTTTTAATTATGTGTGATTGTTTTCAAGTCAGAAACATTTTCACTTTTGTAGGGTGATTTTTGGGATTTCCTTTTGAAAGATGACATTTTCCTTAATTTTGAGATTCAACAGACCTCCTTGTGATTAGGGGTCCTCGAAGTGAAAATTGCAATTTCCTTACATCAAATTTCTTTATAAATTGAAATATGAAACAGATTTTGCTGTGTAACATATTTGTTTTTCATTCATTATTTTGTACATAAATTAGGCCGTTAGTTTTCTCGTTTGAATTGTTTAAAATTTGTTTTCGGGGCCTTTGATAGCTGACTATGCGGTATGGGCTTTGCTCATTGTTGAAGGCCGTACGGTGACATATAGTTGTTAATTTCTGTGTCATTTGGTCTCTTGTGGAGAGTTTCTTATTTCTATATTGAAAGTTGTTTCAGCACTTTAAAGCAATGCAACTATCGTGATAGATTACCTAAACAATGTGACCTGTTATATATTCCTGCCGTGAGACGTGTTCATGGCAATATATGGGTGAGATTTTTTATTCGAAATTATTTCACAGGCCTTGGTTCAGTATTAAGTAAAACTTCGTATTGTCTGTGT